AATAACACTGATCCTGGCCTGTCCCATGGATCTGAAGAACTTCCCGATGGACGTCCAGACCTGCATCATGCAACTGGAGAGCTGTGAGTCATCAACACGCGCACACACACACACACACACACACACACACACACACACACACACACACACACACACACACACACACACACACACACACACACACAAACACAGTAACAAACACATATGCATTTCTCGCTCTGTTCTTCTACAAAGGGACTTCGGTTGTCTTGGAGAAAAGGAACGATATAAAATTCCCTCGGTTTTTTTAATCATATTTTCTGTTCCATCTCACTCTCAAAATGAAGTGTGTGTAGTGTGATTTCATTCTTATAGATTTTTATTCAGCTCAGAAATAATCATCAATAATAGATTTGAAAAAACGCCCTGTTGTCCTTCCATCTTTCTTCTTCTTCCCCAAGACCATTCTTTAATGTCTAATTCATTCCCATCTTCTTTTATATTTTGTATTGTATTATCTTCCTCCTCTCATTCTTTCCCTCTGAGCTGAAATATACAAATATAATCCACTCTTTTAAAAGTGAGACATACATCAAAAAAATTTATAAATACAATAAAATATTAAAAACAATACAATAAATAAAACAATGTAATAATAAATACAAATAATAAGTATAAATACAAATATGTATAGACCAATTGATGAGGGACGTTGCTAATGACAAGCTAATCAAAGAAAATAAATCGTACCTTATTTCTCCTCATTTGTTCCTATTATAATAATTATTTTCTGTTTAATTTAGTTGTTATCTTTTTCGTTCCCTTCCCCATCCACATTATTTTTCCCCAATTCTTCCATCTTTTCCTACTTCCTTTATTCTCATTTGTCCGTCTTATATATTAGTTTCCCTTCCTCGTTCCTTCTTTCTCATTTCCCCTCTTTACACCTCAATAAGGACAAATACATCTTCTTTGTATTACCTGTAATTATGCTTTGGATACTTTACTCACTTTCCTGCTGATTATAGAAACGACCACCAATCCCTGGAATAGTTTTAGAGCAGCGGACAGATTTATTTTCATTGCCTTTTTTATCCTATTACAATAAACGATTTTCCATTCAGTTTTTAACTTTTACTCACCCTTCCTTCCCCTCTATCCACCTTCATTTCTCCATCTTTTCCTACTTCCTTTATTGCTTCTTATATCTTACTTTCACTTCCTCGTTCCTTCTTTCTAATGTCCCCCCTTTTCACCGCAATAAGGACAAATAACTCTGCTGATATAAACGATCCCAATCCTTAGAATAGTTTTTAGAGCAGCGGGCATTATAACAGTATTTTCAATTTGTGTGGCGTTGGCCCTTTACCTATGAAACCCTGCAGGGGGTTTATCTCTCTCTGAGTGACCTTTCACCCCGACCAGACATCAGAGAGATAATCTCCCCCCCCGAGGGGAAGTAGAGTAACTCAAATGACCTGCACATTGATGAAAAGAGGCTCACCTGGTCTTCTCCTCTCCAGTCGGATACACCATGAACGACCTGGTGTTCGAGTGGGATGAGAAGGGAGCCGTGCAGGTGGCCGACGGCCTGACGCTACCTCAGTTTCTGCTCAAAGACGAGAAGGACCTGCGCTACTGCACCAAGCACTACAACACAGGTGAGAATGTACTCCATTACTGCACTACAACACAGGTGAGATGTTACTCTATTCAAGCACTACAACACAGGTGAGAAGTTACTCTATTACTGCACTGCAACACAGGTGAGAGGTTACTCTATTCAAGCACTACAACACAGGTGAGAATATACTCTATTACTGCACTACAACACAGGTGAGATGTTACTCTATTCAAGCACTACAACACAGGTGAGATGTTACTCTATTATTGCACTACAACACAGGTGAGATGTTACTCTATTCAAGCACTACAACACAGGTGAGATGTTACTCTATTACTGCACTACAACACAGGTGAGAAGTTACTCTATTATTGCACTACAACACAGGTGAGAATGTACTCTATTACTGCACTACAACACAGGTGAGATGTTACTCTATTATTGCACTACAACACAGGTGAGAAGTTACTCTATTACTGCACTACAACACAGGTGAGATGTTACTATATTACTGCACTACAACACAGGTGAGAATGTACTCTATTACTGCACTACAACACAGGTGAGAATGTACTCTATTACTGCACTACAACACAGGTGAGATGTTACTCTATTCAAGCACTACAACACAGGTGAGATGTTACTCTATTCAAGCACTACAACACAGGTGAGATGTTACTCTATTCAAGCACTACAACACAGGTGAGATGTTACTCTATTCAAGCACTACAACACAGGTGAGATGTTACTCTATTCAAGCACTACAACACAGGTGAGAATGTACTATATTACTGCACTACAACACAGGTGAGAATGTACTATATTACTGCACTACAACACAGGTGAGAATGTACTCTATTACTGCACTACAACACAGGTGAGCTTTTACTCTATTCAAGCACTACAACACATAGTGATGGGAATTCGGGCTCTTTGAAGGGAGCCGGATCTTATGTCTATGTTCCTTTTCGAGAGCCGTTCAAAAAATGCCGTTTTTTTTTAAGTGAGGGTGGAGATTATTTATTGACCCTGCTTTAAATGATATTTGGGCTTTACAAATGTTGCACTCTGCTTTATCATTGCCTATGTTTTTGTTGAAGCGCATCCAAATTCTGCTGCGTTTTCGCGTTTTGCTCAATTTTTCACCCGAAAAACACGTCGTCTACCTGTACCACTTGATATGACTTATCTCTCTCATGTGTATTCCATTAAGACCCACCCCCCTACTCTGCCTCTGATTGGCTAACCCTGACCCACAACATCTCACTCCTCGTGCCTAAACCTAACCAATCAGAGAAGGGGCGGGTCTTCACGGAAAACGCTCGGGGAACAAAATCAAGGTTTTTCACTGTTCCCGTAAAGGCGAGTGGATTTATGGCAGGCAGTGAACCAACGATAACAAGATCGACTCTCACCAAGTACGACTCGGTTCCCTTCGTTCGTACCAAAGAGTCGTTCAAAATAATCTGATCGTTCGCGAACGTAACATCACTAAACACAGGTGAGAATCTCCGTTATTGCTGCAGGTGAGGGACGATCACTTGCCTTCTGTGTGCTGGACAGTGATGATTGGTTTACACCAGGGTTACTCAAACTTTGTCATACCAAGGACCACTTAACCAATAAAAAAACACTCGTGGACCACCTAACTCCACAAATATAAAAAAACACATCGTTTTTCTAGAACAGATTACAAATCGCCTGAAAATGGTACAAACAAGTGGCAACATGTGTGACGAAGGTGTTGCGCTGGGCTATATCATGCAATTGAAAGTGAAACTTAACCTCGCTCCATTGCGGAGATATTCCCGCGAGAGTGCGGAAAACTGAAATTTATTTATTTATTTCAAATGTGAAATGTTACCAATATACTCACGGACCACCAGTGGTCCGCGGACCACACTTTGAGAAGCACTGGTTTACACAATTGGTTTATTTACTTTTTTATATTGGGTTTATTCAGTCCTGTGTTGGGAATAAGTATTCTTCTTAACCACAGAGCTATGGATATACCAGATAGTATTGTTTTGATTTGTTATGTGTTTGGTTTGTGTAGCACTTTGAGTAACCTTTGTGTATGAAGAAGTTGTAGTTGATGGAGTTTGATGACTTACCAATAGAGTTTCGGTAAGTCATCAGAATCAGAATCAGAATGGGGGAGATGTTCGTTGTTACAGCAGAAAAGAGACAAAGACAGCTTAATGTTACCTAAGAATTATCCCGCTTATTACAAAGGAAAGAACCAACAACTTAAAAATTGTCGTATTTCTACCACAAACAATAATAGTCCATTATTTTCTAACTGCGATGGCAGCAACTTAAATTAAAATAACGGCGTCACTGATCGAGGTTTTCTTCAGATTTAATTTCAACCACAAACAAAACAACCAGTGATTCATTCTCATTCTGAACATAAACCAAAATTATAACATCATGAGCAGACATCATTTCAATATATTTTTTAAACCACTATTTCGTTATTTACTTTATGTCATTCATTTCGTTTCCCTCCCAATACACCATGGCTACGTTTCTACGAAAACTTCAGCGATGAAAATAGAAAAACGTCAGGTTGCAAGAAAAAAAAATCCATCTCTAAGGCACTGGTCAGTGTGTGTGTGTGTGTGTGTGTGTGTGTGTGTGTGTGTGTGTGTGTGTGTGTGTGTGTGTGTGTGTGTGTGTGTGGTGTGTGTGTGTGTGTGTGTGTGTGTGTGTGTGTGTGTGTGTGTGTGTGTGTGTGTGTGTGTGTGTGTGTGTGTGCAAGGCTGATTAGTTCAGATTCAGAGCCATCCCTCACACAGAGGTTGACGTCTGCTGTCGCCACTGAGGAGATGAACGATCCACCTCCAGACGAAAAGCCTTGACACAACTCTGCACCGGCACACACACACACACACACACACACACACACACACACACACACACACACACACAGTCAGATGCACGCACCGGAGGGACAATGAACTGATAATCCAGTGCTTTGCATGCGAGTCTGTTTTCTCTCTGTCACTGAATCCCACTCAGAGTGAATCTCATGTCATGTTTCTTTCTATTTACGGTGCTTCCTGTTAAACAATAGAAACCAGACCACCACAATAATGAGAAATCACTTATTTATTACACTCTGAAACGTGAAAGCATTGATGGGACACAAGCTGCCGCTAACATTGCCTTATCTTGTTTCTCTTATAGCTAAACTCCTTCACCCAGTCAAAATATATATTTAAAACAACCAAGATATAAATAGTGCACTGTTCAAATATTAATTCAACTGGATAACAACTATCTTTATGACAGCTTCATGTAGACAACATAGACGCATGCTCAGGGGATACATCGGCATTACACGAGATCCATTGAGATACCTTCATTCAAATTTAAAATGTGGGGAAGCTTTGGAATAATGTTACCAAAAATATAACATAGATTTGGATAACGTGGAAAAAAACAACATTACCAAGGTGTGATTTTAGCAAAGTTGGTTAGTATAGACGTATAAAGAGACAGAGTACATTCATACTGCACAGTGAGGGGTTAAGAAGGACCGAGCAGCAATGACTTCATGCTGCTGGGTAGGAAACCTTTAGTCAGCTTGTTCCTGCTGGATCAGAAAGACCGAGCAAAACTGGCAAATGTAAGACCAAAACTATGAGCTAAAAGAGGCTCCGATGATATCTACAGAATCGGCAACTGATTTCAAATCTGACTCTATCAAATGTAAACCGTTTCTTTCCTCTTATTCTCTTAATTTTCTTGAGTTGAAGGCATTAATCCTTCATGGACAGTTAACCCCCACCTAGTCTATCCTTACATTTCTCTCTCTTCCCCTCTCTCTTCTCATTACCGACTTATTACTCTCCAGCTCCTCTGTTACTGTGCATACGTACAATTGAGGGCATGTGTGTGTTCATATGTGTGTGTTCATATATGTGTGTGTGAGTGTGTGCACACGCCTCACTGCTCCCCGATGGAGCATTAAGAGCGAATCAAGGTGTCGATTTACTAGCTGCAGTCTTCCTCTTCCTCTTCTCTCCATCTGGCTGTTGTCTTTTTGTATTTCTTTCCATCCCTTCATCCACACCAGCACACACTAAGAAAAAGCCCTGTTTGAAATACTAATTACAGTTTCTGCTGCATTGCAGTCAGGTCTGTTGTATTTCTGCTGATATGTTTGTTAACAACAGATGTTCACACCTGATGAATGCATACTTGTCCTAGTCCCTCAACCAAACCATAACCATCTTCATCCTTATAATGATTAGCCTAGCATTAAGCTAATCAACCAAAAACCAAACCAATGTTGAGCCTGACTCCACTTTTCCTGCAACATGTGTGCAGTGGTTTCATTTTTGAATGGACTTCTGGGATTATGTTTAATGGCCTAAACAACATTAGGACAGCATTTCATGCAGGGCTGTTTTTCTATCAATGGTCTGAATTGGAAAGAGCCTTTCAATGAAGTGAAGACCAACAAAAAGCTCCTCAGCAAAGAGTAATGCAGGAGCATATCCTCTGTTCCATATTCCCTTAAAATAGAGATTAAAGGTGGGGTAGGTAATGTTGGAGAAAGCAGCTCGAGTGCGCTAGAATTTGAAAATACACCGGAAGAAATCTTCCACTTCCTCACAGAGCCCCTCCTTCAACACACAAACGCGCACATGACCAATGAGGGCACGAGATAAGTGTGTGCCCAGATGGAAGGCTGACAGGCAGGTAGGCCATCCAGTTACTTTAGCCGGGCCGGCTCAGATGATTGGTCGTGCTTTTTACAGCGCCACGGCTTCCACTGATGAAATTTGTTTATGGATTTATTGTCAAAACATTTCATGTATTCATTGCTATCAGGATGTTAAGAGCATTCCATGGAATATAACAAAAAGTGTATCTCGAGCCGGTTTCTCAAACTTACCGACCCCACCTTTAAGGACACATTTTTAAACAGCTGTATGGTCTCAGCATTGTTTCCCCATAGTTCAAATGAGGTTATACTCGAAAACCAACGCTGTGAAATCTGCAGACGGACAGTTTTGTTGACTT